AATAAGTGGAGTTTATAATAAAAAATAAGATTAAATTAATATAAATATTAAAGATAGAGAATAAATTTAAATTAAATAAATTAAAAATTGAAATCATTAAATTATAATAAAAATAAAAATGAATAAAAATAAGAGAAGGTTTTAAAGAAAATAATAATATTAATAATAATAAAGAATAGAGTTCAAAAAATTATAATAATTAGAATAATATAAGAAAAGATTTAAATAAGAATGAAATTAAAAGAGAAAAAATAATAATAATAAAAGAAAAAGAGAAAAAAAAAGAAATGAATAAAAGAAATAAAAAGAGATTAGATTAAAATTAATAATTTATAATAAGATTATTATTGAAAGGTAGATTTTTATAAAAAGAAAAGAAAAGGAAAATGAATGAAAGCCCGGAGGGCAACTACTTATTACTACTACCCCCATCACTATCCTATCCTTCTACTATTCTATCCTTCCACTACTACTATCCTCATCACCATCCTATCCTCATCACTATCCTATCCTTCCACTACCACTAAACCTATTCTACCACTAAACCTATTCTACCACTAAACCTCTTCTACCACTAGACCTCTTCTACCACTATACATCTTCTAACCCCATGACACTACCACGATTCTCCCACTATTATTATCACAACCACCCCTATCATCACAACCTCCACCCGAATCCCTACTAGGCAGCTACTCATTCATATCTAGATACTCAAAATCATCCTCATACCTAACCTCATCATCATCCAAACATGAAACATACAACATAACATATCAACAATCAACAACAAGTAATCCAAAAAAAAAAGAGTAGAAGAACAGTAGTAAGTATGCTAACTAAGCCAAAAGAGTCAAAAGAGTTTACAAAAAGAAAAGATACAAAAAGCGCAAAAAAAACTACCATTGAATCATTTATCATAAAGTCATCATCAATCACGTCCCTGTCTTCTTCCGTTCTTGTTCCTTCTCTCTTCCTTTCTTCCTCCCATGGTCCCTTTTCTCTCCCCCCCTCTCTCATAACCTCCACTCACGTTACAAATACCTCCCACAAAACGTTATGCTCAATCACAAAATATCCAGATCAATCAATAATTACTCCAACACACCGAACCCGTTCATCCAACAAATCCTGACCTCTTCCGACCAATTAAACCAAGCCCATACAACCATATCAAATAGACTGACTAATTTGAACACTTTCCCTCGAAATTACTTCTTCTTTGCTCTCCTCATTGTTTCTGTAGTGTAAAAGTATGAACCACTGAGTCTTACTTCTTATATTTTCTCTCTGCATCCTCTATACTGGCCACTCAAGCTGAATGTGATGTTGATATATTATCACCCTCAAAGCCAAGCATCTCCTCCATTATCAACTCTGCTCTGTGCAAAACTCAACTTCATATCAATCTTAGGAGGAGCATTTTCCACCCCAGCACCAGCCACTTTCTTTGGAGTGATATTTTTTCGCACTGGACTTTTGTTATCAGGACTAGGACCACATCTCACATCCTTAGTCTCCCAACCATCTTCAATTGCAGCCGCAACCCAGCATCTTAAGCCCGCATGCACGCCACCATAGAATTTCTCTTTGCATAGACGTAAAGTAGAGCCCATACACTTTTCCCACCCAGAGACTTTTAATTCTTCGCGGACTTGATTACGTTCGTCAATGGTGGGTAGAGATGCAATACAGCCGTTAACAATGTCGAGGTGAGAAGCAAGATAATTTGTTGCATCCCATTCAACACCTCCAACATATGGTGCAGCTGGAACAGGAGGAAGTTCTTGTGGAAAGTGCTTGATCATATATGGTAGATCAGGCGGGGTATCATTGTGTCGCTCTGGAGAATGGCGAGAATCTGGGCGAGGAATGACATTGAGGTTGTGGAGGAAGATCCAAAAAACCTCTTTAGTAACATTACTAACTTCTTTACACCAAACGCGATAAGGGCGCTGTCGACGCATATCAAGTACGAAATCAACAGGGCGTTGCGATTCACTTGGTTCAGGGTCGCGGAGATATGAGAGGAGGAATCGAGCTCTGGTTGCGCGTTCGCTAAGGGAAGCGGATTTGAGATAAGTAAATAAAAGTGAAGTGACAATGTTTCGTGTAGTGAATTCGGCAGGCCCCTTTTTCTCTTCGTCAAAAAGCATATGGAGAAGTGCGGGGAAAAGAGTCTTTTGAATAACGTTAAGATGTTGAAGTGCTAAAGCCGTCGTTGAGAGTGCTTTCAAGCAAAGCAAAACTTCATGTAGTAAAGCATCTTCATGCTCCTCTCTGTGTGTATGTCAGTCATTGTGCTCTCAATAATTGAATTGGTCTGACAAACCTCCACTCAACTTCCATAGTCCTATGTAATAGTCCCACTATCTCTTCCATTCCGCCTTGACGAACGAAATTGTCAGTCCAGGCCACTGTTTCATTCCGTAATAATAGCCTGAGCTTGTGTAACCTGCCTACTTCCACCGATTCTGGTTTCTGGACTTTCCTCAAGTATGAGACGAAATCATCTGGTGTCTGACCTTTGGCCTTGGCAATTAAATTCTGTGCGACTTGCGCGCCAGCAGAAGTAAGTGATTTACTTCCACCGTTCAGAGACTCCGCAGATTTCCTGTTTCCCACAACACCTTCTGCCTTTTTATCTTTTTCAGCTGGTCGTTCCTTACTAGTGGATCTAGAGAGGGTAAAGGTTCGACTTCTTGGTCTCTTCTTTTTCTTCACCTCTGGTGCTTCCTCGACCTTTGCATTTTCACCACTTGTGTCACTACCATGACTGACTGGCCTAACATTTCTCGCAGCAGCGGTTTCGGCCCAATCTTGTTTTATAAAATCCTTCTTCATGGATTTGGCGAGATTTCTCATCTTTCCACGTTGATGCTCTGGGATATTCCGCCTATCTAACATAGCCTCGAATTCGGTATCGATATCTCGATCGTTGAGAGGTCTGTCGGGCCCGAATGTCGTAGAGGTCGGTGTCTGTACTGGGACATATACTCCACTGTCCCCTCTTGCCTTTGCTGTAAAGTTGGATACTGCTGCCATGACTCGAGAGCCACGAGTACTACTTGATGTTTTGATTGATGCAACTGATGTTTCGGTGCTAGATCGTTGAAAGCTTGGTCTTGGTCTTAAATCCATCGAAGTTCGATATTCCAAACTCGGCTTCTTTTCCGTCGAGACTTGTCGCCTTGGAATGTCAACACTGCATCTGTTTTTGCTTTCCCCACTAATGTTTCTATGAATGTCTTGGATACTGAAGCTGCTGGGTAAATATGTGGAATGCGGCCGTATCGATACACCTTCCCGGCTTGCAAGACTCGGTTGTGAGCTTTGTCCATTATAAAAACTTCGTTGTTTAGTTGGCGAATGGTTCTCGGTTGTTTGAAGGTCGATATGATCCTCCAAGAATTTGCCTCCCAAAGGTTGTTTTGTAAACATGTCACTCGAGAATTGTGAGTATATTGGTGGTCGCGAAGGACGAGCCGCGGATTCTGGAACAGGTGATGATACCACCGGAGTCTGGTTCTCCTTATCCTTCGAATCGCGCTGTGCCAGCTCTACATCTAACTTAAGGTTCTTTGAGGATCTTGGACGAGTGAGGAGTCCAACAAGACTTGTCGAGGATTTAGTCTTTTTGGGTTTCGTGGAAGGCTTGTCCCGAATTGATGTTTCCTTGGTCGGTTCTTTTGCTGGGCCTGCCAATGACTTGAGTGACAATACACTCATTGTCTTCTTGTGCAATCCTTTACCCGCATAGCCGGTTTTAGGTCGCAGTCCCTCTTGTTGCGAGGTCGTATAAGGCGAAATGATTGAAGAGGTTTGCTGATTACGTTGTATATCTGCGAGAGCGCGGTGGTGGGTATAATCCGACGGCGAGGGCATATCTTCGAAGGCTGGGGAGGCTACAAAAACGTCATTTGGTGAAGTCGCGGGTGAAAGAGTCGATCCGTCAGAAGTTGTGCGCTTATGCATAAATGCTTTCAATACCGAAGCTGTCTTGGGGCGTTTGGAATGTACTGATTCTGGGTAAGGGAAACTGGTAGCCATGATGAAAGCTAGCTATGAAGTACCTAAGTAGGTAGGTAGGTAGGTAGATGGGTACCAGGTAGATATTATTATACTCGAGTAGTTGTATAATTAAACCGGGCAGTTTTAGAGATATCTACCATAGATAGGTATGCGACAATGGAAAACGAGACTTTTTGGTATGGATGTTATGATTTACTGCAAGCAAAAGCTAACTCATGGCAATTCAATCAATAATCAAAGTAAAGTCAGGCTTCAGTGAAGTGAAGTCAAGATAAGTAAAGGGTAGACAGGTATAAGAGTACGGCGGTAATGTTTTTAATAAGTGTGAGAGGGTTTTGATTGAAGTGAAATAAATGGGATTTATTAATGTAATGAAATGGAATTGGGATGAATGAATGGATAGATGGCTCTTGTGATCAAACCCCATCCGTCAAATCATTCTAATTGATTTGTTTAGACCTGTTTTGGGGGGGAATTAGTGTAATTAGTTGCTATGGGCAACATGAAAAAGGAAGTCGCGTATTCATGTGGTGTGATATGGGTGTGATTTGGGTGTGATTTGGTGTATTTCGTGTATTTACATTTATGTCTATTTAGGTCTATTTAGGTCTATTTATGTGTGTGTACCTTACTTTAGGTGTGTGTATTTATATGTATTTATATGTATTTTACATACATCATGCATGCTTACCTTAGACAGGTGGGTAGATTGGTATTGGTAAGGAAAGTAAATAACTAGTCGGTAGCTACCTGCCTAGTTAATAAATACCTACCCAGTACGTAGGTCGATACAGTTGCCATTGCGACTATAATAATAAGTACCAAGGTAACAATTTCCAAGGTTGTTACCAAATTACATCGATAATCAAAAAGAGTCGTGAGAAGTGTTACATTACCTTATTACCTATCCATCTATCTACCTACCTCCTCCCTCCCTCCCTCCTTAGCTATTTCTTCTTCTTCTTCTTCTTCTTCTTTTTCTTACTTCTTCTCTCTCCTCTGATCCAATCATCATCCTTGCTTCTGATTACTGTCTATCATCCCATACCTAGGGATTTATCCTACCTTACTCAATCAGTACCAAGAATTTGACAATCAATCAATTCCAGAGAAAAATCGAAAATAATTTCAATAAATCAATGGGTCCCTCGGAACTTTGTCGAAAGAAAACTCAATTTTCTACTTCGTTGGCTGGAAGGATTAATAAAACCTCTCGCTGGTTGTAGTGCTTTCCTATCATCTAACTCTATGATGGTTAGGTATATGCTTAAATGCTTATATCTCATCTAAATGCTCCAAAACATCCTTAATAAATGCTTCCTTAGCTACACAGAATGAAACCTCTCCTCTAAGGTCCTTGGATTGTCGACCGAATCCTACCAGCTGAAGAGTCCTTTTTGCCGATCGAACCCACCTCGCAATTGACTTTCCGGCTTAATTAATTTGCCTTGTAAGATAGTAAATTTTACAATCCCCTCACAATCTTCAGGTTTCACTCTTGCTAGCCACATACATTGAGCAGCACCCTTATCCTCATCTTCTCCAGGTACCACTTGCGATGGCATCACATCCCCATCCGTGTTGGCTCTTTCAACACCATCCAACCCAAACGCGTCAGATCTCCGGTAGATCATGACATTTGCACTATATTTGTGTCCTCCGACATGAGAAATAAAGTATATACCCACTCCTCCTGGTCTATCATCATCCAAATCGCGGAAAAGTCCCAGTGGTCTCAAATGCCTCTCGAACTCCTTCTTCAGTAATGGCGCACTTTGTCCACATCTTGCATCGCGAGTTTTCTGCGAACAGAGAAGGACAAGTGCTCGATGGGGTGACGGACGTGATGTGAGTTGTTCTGCAGATGGAAGAGGATCGGAGAGGGACTGGGGTATCGAAATAGGTCCAAGAGGGGTCATATTGGTAGGGGCTTTGTTGATGAACTCTGTAATCAGAGCTGGCACCGATTGTGGAGTAACGTTGTCAATCACGATGAATGCAGGTAATAGAAGTACCGTCGTAGGCTGCGAATAATCTGTCGAATGTGAAGGTGTGGGTATGTTGGACGCGGAGAGCATAAGCTTCTACGATGGATCATCAGCATGTTTCAAAATACCACGATATAGGGTCTTTGGTAAGAGGGAGATAACTAACCCCATTACTTGGTTTAACAGAACCATGATCGATTGCTTGCATTACGCTCCCTTTCTCATCTGCAACATCTCTCACCCAATCCGATTTTCCTGTTGCAACTAGAACATGTGTACTCCATCCTTTGACATGACCATATAACTCATCTTCCTCATCTATCTTGAAGCCTTTTGGATATTTTACATGACACGATTCGCAATCATGATCACAATCATCTCCATCCACCGCCGGGTCCACTTTGGGGAATATTTTCTCGAATGGAGTATTTTCTGAAGGAGTTCCAGGAATTGGTGTGGATTGACCCGAGATGGATTGCTTGGCAGAATTTAAGAGGGATTTGAAAGTAGAAGCCATATTTCTGGTCTTCTTGGGCGGGGGATGAGTCGCAAGTTTGGTGGCATTATGGCTGGTTTTATTAATTCCAATACTCGACATTTTGGTGGGGTTCAATATTCAATATTCAATATTCAATACTAATAATAACAATGCCGTACGATAATTGGTTGCCAGCTAATGGTCGTATTCCATACATTCAAGCAACGTGGTGTCTCTTATCAGATGCGCTTGGGCTTTTATCTGATGGATTAATAATAAGGTAATTAGGAATTAGGTGAAAGAGCTTCTCAACAAGAACGATGGGGCGTAGGAATTGTGTCGATTTGATATTGAATATCTGGTAATGGAATTGATGAAGATGGGAGATAAAAGATGGAAAATGAAAGATAAAAGATGGACGGAAGAGAAGTAATAAGGCTTTTCAATACGTTTGAAGCGTAGAAATATCAATTCCCCGTCGGTATTTTCCTTATATCCGCATTGTGACTCTCCAGGGCTGTCTAATAATATAAGCTCTGTCTCTCTCTCTCTCTCTCTCTCTCTCTCTCGCTACATGCATCGAACGAATCAGCAAAGCCACCACAATTCACTCACAATTCTTCTACGTAAACTCCTTCGGTTCCGAATGTCCAACTGATTGATGTAAATGAATAATAAATCCGCAATCTCCACTTCACATGATTGGCCACACCACCATCTAATCTAATCATGTCACCCAAAATCATTTTCCTCGCAGGAGCACCTACATATCACTCACTCAGCTGGGACGAATCAAAACTTCACAGTGACTTCACCGAACCCTTCATCCAATTCCTCCACCTCCCTCATCCATACCCGAACTCCGCACCACGGAATAACAATACGAGCGTCTTGGAATTCTCCATCGCTCAGAACCCAGAATGGCGTGAACTTCCTCTCAAACGGAAACATCTTACCACGGGAGCTTCACAAGATCATGCTTTTCAACCGCTGCATGGTCGTCATGCTTTAGATTTCTTCTCAGCTACGACTTTTCTCTCGCAATCCCAGGAATATTCACAATCAGTATCTAATGTAGATTCATACGTCTCTGTTGGAGATGAAAATTATGATCATCAAGAGATAGATGGGGCACTGTCTCAATTCTATGAACATTCCTACGCTATCCACGATATCCCCTCCTCACAAATCACCGCCTCGGATTTTGATTCTACATCCTACTCCACATCCGGATATGATTCTCAATCTCTCTTCCCACAATCTGGGGAAAGTACGCAAGTTCCAGTGGGGGGTTACTTGACAAGTCTAAAAGATATGCCACATGCACAACATCTATCTTCAATAGTCCCGCAAACTATGACGGTGAATCTCATCGTGGGGATTATTTCAATTTCAGAGCCGAGAGCAATATCTACGAGACAAGGAGGTAATGTATCGCTTGTTGAGATACTAGTTGGTGATGAAACGAAAAGTGGGTTTTCGATTAATTTCTGGTTATCAGGAAAGGGGAAAGAAGAAGTCAAAGAAGTATTGGAAAATTTGAGGATTCAGGATATTGTGTTGATGAAAAATGTAGCGTTGGGAAGCTTTAGAGGGAAGGTTCATGGTCAGAGTTTGAGGAAGGATATGACGAAGGCTTGGTTGATGTATAGGGAGAAGATTGATAGAAGTGATGTGGGAGGATGCTATGGGAAGAGGGATTTGGAGAGAAAGGAAATAGATGTACAGTTGGCAAAGGTTAAACGGGTGAGGGATTGGGTGGTGGGTTTTGTGGGGGTGGCGACGACAAATAGACGGGGTGTGAAGAGGGTGAGGGAAGAATTACCGCCGGACACTCAATGATAAGATGGTATAGTATATCACGAGTTTGGTCTTCTGACTCGGAAGTATGTACTTGGGATTTTATCTCCTTCGCAAATCCTTCTCCCATTCAACATTTTCCAACCCAATATCCGGTACCTAATATCCCCAATCCTACCCGATCAGCTCCCTCAATCACAGTTACACATTCCACCCGCCCAGCCAAAAAGATTAAGCCCCCTCCCCCTCAAAATCCCACCCCAGAAACTCACCTACCCTATGTCCTACCTCCCTATTATTCCCAATCTTACTAATCTCCACAAAACAAACCGGACATTTCGCCGGTGGATTCATCAATTTCGCATGCGGAATCCACTCCTCCAAACACACCGGACAAAACTGATGTCCACACGGTCTCGTAATCGAAACTCGCGTCGGTAACTCCTCAAAACACACAGGACAAATCGGCATCCCATTTGCATCTTGCTGTCCTATTGTCGGCTCATCGGGAAAAAGCCCGAGAATCCATGATGGTGTGTTAGGAGCCCTGGCCCGGGGAATAGTTCTCGATCGCTGGCGAATCATACCCCGGATTATCCCTTGAATTTCTCGTAATGCGGAGAGTTCTAAGTCGGGGAAGAAATTAGGGTGGAGATTCGCAGGGAGTTCATCATGCATGGGCCAGGGAACTGCGACGCCGTTGAGGAGAAGTACGATGCGGTTCCGGTATTGTAGGGCGGGGAAGGTGAGATGCGGTGCTCGATCGTAGTGCCTGAGGAGGTTGAAGGCGTGGGGAATGGTATGGAGATTTTGGCTGGTGATGGGCCCGAGGGGGATGGGGTGGAAGTTCATTGGTCTGGGTGGGATGTTGGGAGAGATGTCGTCGTCGTCGTCTTCTTCGAGAGGGTATGGTATATTTGGGAAGGGGAGAGGATCTCCGTTTATGAATGCGAGACGATTTTCGCGGTGTTGACGGATGATCTGGGGCTTGGCAGAGGTGTCCGCTGGGTTGATGGCGTTTTCTTGTTGATTATCTATTCTGCGGTGATGGTTCTTTGGTTCGAAGATTGATCGTTGTGATATTGGTTGATACGAGATTGTTCAAATAATAAAATGTGAATGCAGATCTATGAGTTGCCCTCCTGTCTACCTTTGGAGTAATTACGAATACACAGTACACATCAGACTTTCACACACTATCTTCTTCTCACCATGAACTTGAAGGAGAAATAGAAGATCTCTACATGAAAGACTTCGAATACCTAAACACACCGCAAAGATATACTAGATCTAAGCTCGCTTGATATACACTACAAGATTCTACTAGTTATCTCGTTTCAATGATTCGAAATATTCTTTCTTTCTGCAATAGCATCGTTCAATCAGAGGTAGGTATTTTATCCATTCATTTATTCATCCATCCATTCATCCATCCATTCATTCATTCATAGGTAGATAGTATATTTCATGACAATCATATCCCTCTCCTCGTGATTTTCAGCAAGAGAGGAGATTGAGGGAATGTGAATATCTATTCCATCTATGTGAAGATATCACGAAGTAGTATGTATTGTTCATCGAGAGATTTCAAAGAGTGGTTTAGAAAAAAGGTTTGAGTGTGTAATGAGTTGAAGGGTATATTTACTGGGTAGGTGTGGTAGGTAGATGTGGTAGGTAAGCGAAAGAAGGGTGTGTACTTAAAAATCAGATAGGCAGTTAGCTTATTCAAGACTTATATACTCGATTTCATAACTAGCTTTCAAAATGTAACTTTTCTATGCCTTATCAAAAACATCTAAATGTTATATTTTTATTATTCATTTTATGATAACTTTATTAATTTGATATCGATTTTAATAAAAAAGATATTTTATAATAAATAATGATTAAATCTATTATATGTTCAATTTTCAATTAATTTAAAGTTATATTGATTGAAATAAAAATTTGAAAGTGAAAATCTAAAAATTGAAGGTTTTCTTTTAAAAATTAGTTATAAAAACCTTTAAAATATTATATTATTTTAAAATCATTATTATTTCATTTATATTATTCTAAATTAATTCAAATTTGAAAGATTGATTCAATAAAATAATAGCTTTTATTTAATATAGGAATTTTTGATTTTGAAACTAGATTAATAAAATTAGGATTTTATGATTGATAGATTTTAGTTAAAAATTTGTAAAACTATGAAATTACATTTTAGAAGTTAGTTATGAAATCGAGTGTATAGATAGAGTACCTTTAGAGATACTCGTGAAGATTAATACAAATAAGAGTTATTGTCTCAAGCATTCGGAAAAATATATATCGCTTGTGTAAGGGAGTGAAATAATAAAACGAGATAATATAATAAATTATAATACAAAAAAGAATGAGATGGAATCTCATGGTAAATATAGATACATATATACATACATATATACATACTAAAAGCTGTTCGGTCAAATCAAAAATTGAGACAAGAATGATAGATGACGTTACTACCATCATACATACACAATTCCGCACTGTATATACCGATTCGATTCACGAAACTTGTTTGCATCCGGGTCAAGCATCTCGATGATCGAAATTTGCTGTGAGGAGATGTGATTTATTACTAGATAGGTAGTTGGATAGGTAGGTAGGTAGATAAAGTATGGGATGATATGGAGGAATAGGGAGAAGATATGTGATGGTGTGGAAGCGCGCGTAGTATTATTCAGTTTAGTTACTTGTAAATGCATGTGTATTACAACGCAGTAAACAGACACTCAGTCCTCCTCAATCTCTCATCAAATCTTCCTCCACCGATCCATCCTATCCCCCTACCCCCTCCTCAACGCCTCCCCAACCCTATCCATCAACCCCCCTCCACTCCCCACCCTCCTAATCTCCCTCGCACAAACCGGACATCTAATTTTCTGTCCCTTTCCCCTTCCCCCATCCCTCCCCCTCAAATGCACCATCCAATCCTCCAAACACTGAATGCAAAAGCGATGTTTACACGGTTTGGCAATCGATACTTTGGCAGGGAGTTCATCTGTGCAGATTGGACAGGTAAGTTTTTCGTTTCTGCTGTTTTGCTCGTCGTGCTTGTGGAGAAAAGATGTGGTTGAATTTCCAACTGCATTTCCATATCCATTTCCATTTTCGAAAAGCGCCAACATCCACTCCGGGGTATCACCTCGCTCACGAGGATACACTTCCATCGCATTCCCCTCTTGCGCAACCGGTTCAAGATCTCGGATTCGACGTCTCTGTAACCCCACCTCCCGATCAATCTCCGCCATCGTCGTATACGCAAACCCCCTCTCCATAACCTCCGGCCAGGGCAACACCTTACCCTCGAAAATCGCATCCATGTTTTCTCGAACTTGGATTCTTAAATGTTGAAGATTCGGGATGCCGTGGAAGCGGGAGTTGAAGTAATTTATCATTTCTGGCTGATTTGCTTGAGGGGGTTCGATATGCTGGTGGGGAGCGAGAGGATTTGGGTTTGCGTTTATGGGCTCATTGGGGATGGGCTCTTGGGTGTTGAAGTGAGTGGCTTTTGGTTGGAAGAGAGGATTTTCGGTAAGTAGAAAGTTTTTGAGTTGGCAGAGGAGTGTTATGAATATTATGAGGGAGAAGATAGATAGAGCGATGAGAGCTGCGAGTAAATTTCTCTCAAGTTTTCTCTTCCGAGGACCCATTTTGAGTTGACTGTTGCTCGATGTACTGAAAAGTGATTTAAGGTAACCGATACCGGTAGTTAATGGTATGTTGTACATGGCGTTGGTTGGATAGAAGGGTTTCTAGTATTTTGGGTTTTCCAGTGACAAGTACTCTGAGAATGTGACTGGGAGATGATTGTTGCGTCGTGTATGTAGATGAGAATCTACCTAAAGTAGATGCTAAATGGATAGAGCCAGCTCCGACAGATTTCTTCTATCAAAACCAATATACCACGAGTACGGTTCAAACAACGTATACTTGCCCCAACGTTACTCCATATCAACCGTAGGAGTTTGCGCATGAATACGTGTTAGCTGACACCGTATTTACCATATCTCGCTAGCCGAGAAGATCAGTTGTAGTGCATTATTACAACGCGAGATGAATACATCCATTTGAAGTGTGGTTAACGAGTTCGGATGCATTGTGAATTGTGAATGAAGTGCTTTGAAGTTAATCTCAAAGGAACAGAGCTTGATATTATGAAGGCTAAACATAAACCCAAGTTTTCAGCTTGAGAAATACGTAGACACGACATGATTCATTCGGTGAAGTAAGAAAAACGCTGAATCCCTTTACAAATATAACTCCGATATCTGATACATGCCGGCACCAGCATGATGTAGCGGCCATCACAATACACACAAATTCTCACTTGACGCCAGCGAATGACAGCAACTTATTGCATCATCAAGCGATCTATCAATTTGTGAAAGCTATGTTTATCTTCTCAACCGCTTTAAAAGTTTTCGGATACGAAATGGAGCCATTTTGATTCAAAAGGCCAGCAGAATATCACAGAGAAGCAAATAACTAAGGAATTTCTGAGACGTACAGTGGCAGCCAACTCGGCATTCTCCCCAATGGCTCAAGGCTAAAGATTGTGGGACATATAGCAATACAAGTCTCTAGACTAATGATCGAGAAGTGATTTCCAACTAGTCTGGATTGAATTCAATTTTATGTAATTTCATTCTATGCATTAAGTCTCCTAATGCCTCACTGTTATGTTCGTACAACCATGCGCCGTAAACTTTCCGCAAGACTGTTACTTGCCCTATATCCTAAATGTACTCGAACCTTTACTCGGCGACCCAAACAGCAGCCATACCCATACCAGTACCTACACACATGCTAGTCACGCCAACTTTCTGATTCGTCCTTCTCAACTCATACAATAATGTGCTGACTTGTCTAGCTCCGGTACATCCGAGAGGATGTCCAAAAGCGATCGCACCACCCTTTGGATTGATCTTCTTCTGGTCGAGTCCTAACTCATTTGCACACCAAACACATTGACTTGCAAATGCTTCATTGATCTCGAAAATATCTACGTCATCCTTATTGATTCCAGTCTTCTCGAATACCTTTGGAATAGCAGCCCAAGGACCGATACCCATAAGTAAAGGAGCTACACCCGCAATAGATGCGGCAACGTATTTACCTAGGATAGTTTGACCGAGTTTCTCGGCTGTAGAACGCTTCATCAATAGAACTGCAGCAGCTCCATCCGAGATTTGAGAAGCATTTCCAGCATGAATGCTACCGTCTTTTGCAAAAGCAGGCTTGATTTGGCCTAAGCTCTCAGCGGTGATACCTGGTCGAACACCATCATCCTTGGAAACAGTGATGTCTTTTGTTTCGCCAGTTTTTGGGTCTTCCCATTTGACAGTCAAAGGAGCAATTTCCTCATCGAAGAGACCCTCTTGTTGAGCCTTGAGTGCCTTTTGGTATGACGAAGCTGCAAATGCGTCTTGTACGGAACGTGGAATTCCCTTGTCTTTGGCCATCTTCTCCGAGAGAACGCCCATAGGCACTTTGCAGTTCGCAGATTCTGGGTGAGATTCGAGGAGTTCGGAAAATTCTGTTACTGCGCCAGGTCTGTAGATATATCGTTAGCATTGGATACACCAAAAAAAATGAACCATACCCATATTGCAAACTCATGCTTTCAACACCTGCACCAATGCCGACATCAATCATGCCGGATTTAATGGCATTTGCGATATCCACACATGCTTGTAAACCAGAGGAACATTGTCTATTCAAACTCTTGACTGCTGCAGATACAGGAAATCCTGCGGCCAAAGCGGCGGCTCGGAATTCAGTAGCTCCACCTCCTGGAGGAAGCACCGATCCAACAGCAATGTCTTCTACTAGCCCCGGGTCGATTTTTGAACGTTCGATGAGAGATTTAAATGCACCAACGAGTAAATCTGCTGCTGCTGTATCCTTGAAGCCTCCTTTGCCACCCTTTGTGAATGCGGTTCGGAGACAAGCTGTGACGACGATCTGGAATAGAGAATGTTAGCAATTGGTCGAGAGGCATTGTTTGAAATGAATAGTTGTTCTTACATCATCTGGATGCTTCTCCAAGAGCTTCGCGCGGCCACTATCACCCTCTGTGGGTGCAATAGTGCTTTGTGATCCAGCCAAATGGCCGGAAACTTGTCCAAGACGTTTTTGTGCTGTGTTCACTGTCAGTCTTGTTTGCAGTCCTTCACTTGCGATAGATCCTTCCTTACCAGCTGACATTTTGGCAATATATCAATGTAATATGTGATCAGAATTTTGTTCTATGCGATGGGAGATACAGAAATGCAAATGAAGTTATATGGGAAGGAGGAAGGAAGAATGCACGTCAAAGTTGGAGATGGATGGATAGTAATATTGAGGTTGCCTCGGCAGGCATTCCAACCAATCATGGACGTTAACGGCGATTCCGCACTCACATGCTTTTGCAAGGTTGGTCTCAGAGTAACAGAGCTCTCAGCCGAAACCAGAACTTAGGATTTCTGACATACATTGTAAGGTTAACTGGAGGTCACGCACTGATTAGTGAAAAGGTAATTAAGCAATCATTCACATGTGGTCGAGAGAAGCTCTATTGGAAGGGCAATTGCTGCTGTTTCACTTGTCATGTTTAATAAATGTTGCTCTCCTTTCAAAGCATTGATGCAGCGTTTTGACATGTGAAGTTCAAGGTATCTTTAATCCTCCATGAGGTGTGATTTTAGTGATCCTCCCATTCAAGCGAGTTTTGAATGGCGTGTATTTAAAATATTGATTAAACCCACCTTCATCTTAACCTCTCTCGTCTCTCTCTCGTCTCTCTCTACACCTTCTCACCAGTGCTTATCCTCACCACACACCACTCATAATCGCCAGTCCAATACTTCAAAGCCCCAATAAGTCAAATCACACACTCTTCAGTAATCGTCCACTTATTCATGTGGCAAAACCCTCGGTCGTAAAGGTATTTGATTTGCCTCTCAAGAGGTATTGAAATTCCGGTAAACTTCCATTCGGTGGACTTGAAGTCGTGAAAGCAAGCCGCACGACTGAAGTAGCGATACGTGGATTGAAGGTTCTTGACATATATTATGACACTACCAACACCATAAAATTCATCGATTATCCTAACCACATCCCTAGCAAGTCGTTTAAAAGTTGGGTACTCACTATCTCTCAATGTTCGCTCCCCGGATCTTGGTAGAATGTGTATAACGATGTGCTTTGCATAGCCCACGAACAGTGGAAGCAATGTGATGAATCTTCTCTCTCTTTCGATGGCGCCAGGACTCGGATGACTGTTGAGTTTAATAGTCAAAGTGTTGGTCTCGTAGTCAAAGGGCAAGCAGGCATGTTCAAAGATCCCATTGCCGTTTTGCTTTACGTCTATAGATTGACCATTGGTACTCACTCCCGAAATGTAATGTAGCGTCCATTCTGTGAATTTCAGGCTAAAAAGTGGAATCACAGCATGAAGTTGACGATGATTATACCAAGGTAAGTAGAACTCAACGTCTAGCTCTTCAATCTTGAATCCATTGAGGATACCTCTCATCTCCGTGAAAAGCTGGGTTGCGTGGTCAGTATCCTCTCCATAGTCTATTGCATTTGGGCGATTTGTATGCCCGTAGACTCCTGGGTAATAGGCAAGCCGGCAAACTATCTTGATCTGTATTTTTTTCATGCATCCCGAGAATCCTGGGAGGTGCTCAAGCAGAGATTTGAAACCAGTTCTTTCACTTTGCTCTCTAGCTGGTCGTTTGTAGTCGATGGTTACGACAAGGGTGTCTCCGCCCGAAATTGACAAATTCTCATGCTCCGAGATATGAGCATTGTCTTTGCGTCGTGACATTATTGTGTTGTTCCGATTGCGAGGGCTCTTTCACTTGTAAATTTTCGAACTCAAAAATACTTCAAGTATATCCAGGATTCTCGTACTGAATACCGGAGCAGCATGAATGACGATCTAGAAAAGGAGATGGTGTTTCGGAATTTCTTAACACACCAAGTAGCAGACTATTTCACAAAGCATTATTGCAAAAACAAACGTGTTAGATATGTCGAGAGTGCTACCACCTGATAGATCGTTCCAGTCCAGTCGACTGAGTTTGTCAGTACCAGATTCTTGGTTCCAGATTGCGAGAACTTTCTATACAACTCTACGTATCATTTATAGCTTTTTGATTGAATAAGTTGTGGTTTCTTGCATGAATATCTTTCCATTTAGTAATGGAAGGAAATGGAATATATTTGCACAATCACCATCATAGAATCAGATTCAAAATCTTCCAATATGGTATATGCAGATAGGTAGTTGAGCAAAGCTCAAGACGTAGTTTTCTTGGTCGATCTTCCAAAGTCTTCGATCACCCAGGTATGCTTACAGGATCCCCACAATGGTCTGTCGCGGTACAAAGACTTTCAGGAAATGCTTCCAAACATCAACTATCTGAAACTTCATTCTTCCCGAATACCACTCCAGTAGTCTTGATGCTTCTATTGATTCAACACACAAAAATATATAGCACGGTACAAACTCCCTTTGAACTCTTACAGCAACAAACTTCATCCTCGAATTACAATCATACCCTTTCAACAAACAAGAAAGAGAATCTAGAATACCATGCCTCGTCCGGAGCTTCAATACGATAACAATGGTAAGCTCACCATCAAATTCGACTATAACAATTCCACAGCTGTGTCTTGCCTTTCACAATATGCCTCGCGTGTCCGAACAATACACTTCGAAATCACATTCCCAGCCCCAAACTACAACGATCCTGATCTCACGAGAGTCACAGGAGAAATCGAGGATATCGTCAACATTATCAACAACGAATTCACAAACGTATCTCAATTCGAAGTAACATTCTTCCTACAAAGACTCGATGTAAATCAGCTCTCAAGTGCTCGTGCTTTTCGAAAGCTCAATCTCAGAGGATGCGAATTGACTTATTTTGTCGAAGGTGAGTGCACGGATATAGTTGATATGGATACGGACTGGCTTGAGGAACTCGAACCTGTATATGGTAGGCCGAGTTATAGTAACTATTTTCCTGGTGATAGCGATGAGGACGGGTATGTATGGTCGGCTTCGGATTCGGAGTAGGTGCACCAGTGGGTGTATGGATTGATGGAACACTTTTCAACTTTAGAAATTCTGAAATAAATTCATTCTTTGATTTTTTGATATCAGAATTTATTGTTTAATTGTCTCATCTCAAATAAATAATTGTAACAATTACTAGTATATATATATATGAGCTGATATATCAAGAAATATTCACAGGTTCTTTTTTGTAGTGTCCCGTCAGTCCGTACACCCACTGGTGGTGTTTGAAAATAGGGATTGTAACTGTGTGGATACTTGGTTCTTATATGCTCGGTTTTGGTATGTAGCTAAGCTAGTAGTCACAGGGGAGCATGAAGGGGTGCTTGAATACATTTATTTTCCATAATAAAACGTGCTTTTCGGGTAAGGTGAAAAATTTATAGTAGCTACCGAGAATTTCCCTGTGTGTAAAACATGAACTCAAAGTTAGACTATAGTTAGTACCACTTCACGAATTCCAACCGTGTGTTTCTGTTAAAAGTCATATGGTTTTTGTAAAACTATCTGCGGAGCGCTTAAACTCCTGGCTTGGTTTATCTTATCAAAATATACTTCAGCGTATGCAATCTCCCCTGATTCTCCTCTCCCTCCTCTTCTAATACCAAAACTCCTTGCTATCTCCGAGGAAATTTTCTATATCTCCTAATCTTTCTAATCCTAATTGGAGCTTTCTCTCCTCTTAGTTAGTCGAGGAGAGTAGGGGAGCGGATGGGAGATTGCATACGCTGCAACACTTTACGTTGACATATGCCGGCAGAGTATAGTTTCTCTTGATGATATTTGGATATCTAGCTGTGATATATTATACTTATCAGATTTATATATTCTGTCTCCTATGCTTCTTGAAGTGTATGGAGACGTAATGTTTGCCTGTTGTTCAGCTGTTGTGGGCTTGTGATTTGATTTGATTGCTCAAGCGAGGTTTATTGGTGTGCTTCGATGATATTGAGTATGAGCCCCTTTTGCTTTTACTGGTAGGAGAAATGATTAGGGTTTACAAGAGCAGTGCTGGTAATGGGTGGGGTGGGCGATGTAGCTGAATTGGAGAAAGGATAGATTCGATTGGGCTAGGTGCCATAAGATAGTAACCTATGATGAATTGTTTTGAGTTGGCTTTTAATGACGAGTTTTATATCTACTTATATAATTTACGTCACTTTCAATCAAACCTCACAAAACTCCCGTTTAAAGTCTCAATTTCAAATCTCAATCTGTCAGGGGTGCATGTGACTGGAGACTAAGAAGGAGGGTATAAGTACAGATTCTTTTTGTAGCTTAGCCCTCTTCTCTCTTCGTAGTGAACAATATCAATTGAATCTTTTCGATTCCCACAATTCTTCGATGCATTTGCTCCGTAACACAATCCATCTTCAAGTTCAGTTCAGAATTGATATACCTAAATAATCCATCATAATTACACATAAATGCTAATAGATATCTTTCATCCAATCAATAAATTGAATCATAAATCACCCAATAACTTTTTTGGATTAACGATCCATAGCGAGTTAAGAAAAAAAGAGGCACAAAATTTATTTATGGAGAGCACTGCACCAGGGACCCGCTCGATGAAATGCAAAGCGATTGGGGCAATATAACGGCTTCAGTTCATCAGGTCTTACATTGAATATCTCATACCCAACACCCGGTGCAAGGAAACATAGTCTTGTAGCTTTTTTTAAACGTAGGAATCACTCCAAGTGCGACAAACTTTTGATGTCACTGGATTAAAGGGATCTAATTCATATTCGTATTGAGAACTAGATATGTTAACTAATATTCTATGCCCTACGAAAGAATGAAAAGAGATATGAGCGATTAGCGATTATTGCCCGGCTGGAAACAGCAAGAACACCCTTGGGATCCACCTGGATAATAACACGAAGGGTATCTCAAAGCCTTGGTGGATCAATTATGCTCTCCAGTAATCTATTGCAAGCACGTAGAGAACTAGCAGAGGTGGGGGATAGCTGGCGCATGACAGCCATGATCATATCACCGCAAAGATTTGTGAGCCGGTCAACCCCTAGAGAAGTGCCGGAACTAGAGCGTGTACGAAGTTGCAGAATTCTGCGCGCAACGAGCGAGCCCATCGTGATCTCTTCTTCTTCCCCCTCATCAAGATCGACAAAAAGTTCCCAAGCCGGCTTTAAATTAAGGAAAGAAATTGCAAAATCTAAGTAGTCGGATTCACGTTCATCAACCCGAAAGATGACCTCGACTGTCTTGACGTTCCGATATCTATTGATGAGTAAAATCATTTTGTCAATCATCATCTTGCGATCGTTGAGCATGCGTACCAACAAGTATTTGCGCTTCAATGGCGTAACTTTAATACGTATTTCGTCTGCTTGGCTCAAGAAAAGAGGGAGAATGTTGAAGAACGATTCCTGCAATTTCTCGCGCTCATCCACGTACTTGATTTCCTTGCGTAGTCTGTACTTCTTGGTGTGGTCAATTTTGATGGATAACAGCCTTCCGTCTTCAAAACGGAACCATGGATGAGTGGTAATCTTTCTTTCCAGTTCGGAATTGCGCTTCACTTCGATGATCTTTAGTCCCTTTTTCCAATGGCAGTGGAGCGTCCATTCCGTAAATTTGAGGTTGTAGAGAGGGACAACAGCCTGGAGCTGAGGAATGTATGGGTCGAATTTATCCTCCTTCTTCATGTGAAAAATTACCTCTAACCTATCGATCTTGTTGGATTTATTCAATAGTTTCCTTATACTGGTCAACATTTTGCTTTTTCGAGTGGCATCTTCGCGGGTTCGTCTATCATTCGGATCCCGGCATAACATCTCGATGCGGATCCTCCTGGTATGTTTTAGATATCCAGGGAGTCGTGCTAAAAGGTAATTACTACCTCTGCGTTGGTTCTGCACTTTCCAATCGTTGCTGATGGTTATGACGAGGAACGATCCTTCTACAATCTTCAAGCCCTTATGTGGTTCGATATGCGCAGTATCCCGCCTTAAGCGATCGGCTCGGTTGAGTTTGTTCTTGCGTTTTGGCATCGTGATGCGGAAGAAACTTACTTCGATGTTCTATGGATATTGGGGAGTTTCGATATCACCGAGAAATGATTGGTATGTCTGAGGTCTTCTGAGACAGGTTGTTTCAATCATCAAGCGAGGGATATGGCTATTTATGAGACTTTTAAACACATGGTTATCAGAGCTACAAAGGATTTTGCCTATGGCAAAGCATCAATGTGCTTGTATCAGCTGCCACGAGTGCTTTCCATGGAAACAATTTGCATGACTTTTAGCATTGTCTAACAAGGAACAGATTGTTACCTCTCAACAGGTCGATTGATAAGGTCTTGCGGAAGGGAATGGCAACCTTGCGAGAAGCATTAGTTTGATTTATGTTGAATATGTGCTCTTTGTTAAGTTCTGAGACATTCCGACTAGAAGTCTCTTTTCGGGTAGGGTGTTCTCGAAAGGTTTCTACACATTCGACTCGTAGTCTACCCCTATCTCGAATCAGCAATGAATCCAGTTTCATGATTCGAGAGCATGCTCTAGTGGTTCATTTTGGCATTGTTCTTATGATACCTGGGCCCAAGAAGCTTCCCACATTGGCAAATACTTAAGATTTACAATTTCTCCGAGGGTGCTAACATAGCATTACCATTACGAATCTCACACACACATATACAACTTTCATTGTCTGTCAAGAATCCAGTCAAAAATGACTATTGCACTTAATGGCATTCCACGCCACCGCGAACTCAGCTACAGTCGCAATAGAAGATCTTTAACAATCCACTACGATTATAGTCTGGGCCACATAGAAAGCGAGGGAGAGACCTTAGAGCGTACGTAAACTCAATATGCCGCCTTCGCCGAAAAGGTTGTCGTCAAAATTCAATTCCCGGAAGCGCAGAATAGATTTCGCTACAATTTTCCGAATTTCGGAATCAGACATACCGTCAATTATGGTCCTCTTGACCAAGTTGAGAACCAGCAGCGTATTACAGATGTTGTTCGAGTTCTTAAAGGCTTTCGGTTGAGAACTCTAGAGATTAGTTTGAGCCTCGATACTGAAGACTTTAGCCAAATCGCTTGTGCTGCTCCGTTTTTTCGACTTGCGTCAACGTCGCTAGCAGTGGAGCATGAGATACAAACGTGGTAGACATGTAAATTGTATTTCTATCGGTCCTGGTTCGCCGTTCTACACTCGACTCGAACGCCTCAATAATGGTAGAATGTATGATTGACATAGTATTTGCTCACAGTTACTTCTCTGGTAAGTAGATAAGGTTCTTTGGGGAATATATTAGCCAGGTAGCTATAGTCAATTCAATCATGTCTGCGAAAGCTATACTTTCAAGTCTGAATTTCTGCGAATCTCTCTCAAATAGCCCCATATTTTCCTTCGAGCTATGATATCTAGATGCTATGAAACGTTCAATTTGCCATTTCTTTGTCTTCTTGTGGATTGTGAGATATTTCAAAGACACAATTGTCATTGTCAGGTAAAGTTTCAGAGAATTGTAGAGATTCGAATCATGAGACATGTCTATGTCAAGTCATATCCCAAGGAAACAACTATACTGGTGGCTTCGATAAGTCAAGCTGTGGGTTCTTTTGGTACAAAGACATTTTTCAAGAGTTGATTTTACCACCATCTCATTATCATCTCGAAAAGTCTCAATGTTTCTATAGTCTGACACACATATTGAAAGGTATATAACTCCAGCCCATTCCCAATAACATTCCAACATTGTAAACTTGCATCCTATCAACAAAAGCATAACTTCACTCCAATAACACCAAAAGACTCGAACATCAACAAACGATCCAAAAACTTCCAAATGGCTTCAGGTATCACCTGGCACTCTGAGCTTTCATACCATCGCGGGACTCTAACCATCAACTACGACTACGAGGACTCCGACGTCAAATACCATATTTCCCAGTACGCATCTTTCACCCGAGAAATCATATTCAACATCTGCTTCCCCGAGCCAGATAACGACAACACTGGACTCAGAAGAGTCGAGCAAGATCTCTCCGAAATAATCGAAACCCTCAACGATGAATTCGACTTATGTAGAAGCAATGTTATATTCTGGTTACGCGAATATGATATTTCGCAGATTTCTTGTGCCCTCGAGTTTCGCCATCTAAGGGGGCGGACTGTGTTTGAGTACTATGTGAGAGGAGATTGTCGAGATACAGTGGATATGGATTCGGATTGGTATGCGGAGTTGATCGGTAGCCATTGTTCGGATGGAAGCTCGAATGGTAGCAATAGCGACGGGGAGGTTTATTATGCGAGGGATACGGACTCGGAGTGAAATTTGGAAAGAGGAATTTGAAATACAGTAGGTGGGATGAATGGTCTTGTGGAGATCTCTTTTTGCGTGGTCTTCCTGTGAAGTTACTAGCTTGGAAGATAATGCAAGAGATAGCTTGGATAACGCAGGGTTGATGATATCCATGTTGTGGTGTGAGTATGCGGAGATTGGTAGAATATACGAATCTTTTTGTCACTGACACGGAACCCTCAAGATTCTGCTAGAGCTACTATCGTTTTGAAACATCCAGTGGTGGTTCATTTCATGTGAGTGCAATTATCCTGATGTTTTTTTTTTCATATGATTGAAACAACTACAGGGATTAAAACAGCACAAAGTCTTGGCTATGAACTATTTTCTGCCATTGAAGAAGCTATGAGTCGACTTCTGGTCTTGGTGTATAGTCCTCACCTGCAACGTTTCACAATATTTCATAACAACCTCTCCATTGCATATGCTTCTCAGGATATGTGAAGTTATAAGGTTTGGGTTCAGCGGAGTCTACATCCACATAACGAACACTGCAGCTTATTTTTTCCAAAATATATAAAGTGGGCAAAATTAGAGTTTATTTCTAGATCCATTTTCTCGCACAGAAAATAGAAACTGGGAGTTTAGTGTTTGGGTAATGGGTGTTTTGGACATGCAGCGAATTCGAGCTCCGCATGCAATTCTCTCAGCTGTGGTAGAAACGGAGTTCGACATGATCAATTAGTGGTTGATCTGTAGATCAATTGTATAGACAGCAACCTCTTGTTGCCTTCAGAGTTAGTAATGAAATTTTAGATTTCAGATTTATCTCATTCAAAGGGTGTATGTACGCAAAAATGAATGACCGAAATAGTGATGATGCACACGGCAAAGTAGATAGTAGGATGGTAGGAAGTCACTGCGCTTTCGATGTCACAATTCACTTTTCAAAACACAAAAGATACATATTTTTTGTAAGGCGTTGACTTGATTTATCTGCCTCATTTACTACTGCAAAACAGATCTAGGTAGAGCTGTTGATTGGTATCCCTTAAATCCTGAAGCTTCCCAAGCCATTATCGCTTAAGAAGCCTCTTCCCGTCAAATAGCAGAACCAACATTCATACTTGTAATGCAGTCAAAAGCGGTCCTCGATCCTTAGAATGAGAAACAAGCTTCATAAAAGCAACCGTAGACCCAGCCTCCGTTCGACTCTAGTTCGATGCAACATCCTGTCGTCGGGGCAAGTATTATAGGCTCCCGCGTACCTAGAAGAACGACAATCCACCGTTGATCAATATTTCATATTGATCTATATCCCTAACCCTTGCGCAACTACCACCCCCCTCTCTCCATTCCCCCTGACCCTACAAAGTTTGTTGGAGTGCTTTTGCCTCTGCTGCTCGAAGTTGTCGATCGATGCGTGAGTTAAAGAGGATTTGTTGAGCCTCACGATTTTCCACCTTCATATTGAAAGTCCAATTAGGGAACTTGAGGCCGTAGATGGCGGACGCAGAGCTGACTTGCTTCCAGTCATAGTGGTTAATATCAATAGAAAAAGTTATCTCCTTGATGTGTGGAAAACCATTAATGATTTCGACGACATGAGCGAGAACTCCCCGACGGCTGACTCCCTCGGTATCGTTAAGTACACTGCCAAAGATCATTCTCAGATGAATGATATTTGTCTCATCAGAATATTGTGGAACGGTGTTGACAAGTTCATGGAAGATCTCCTCCTCTTCGGCGACTGGTCTATCGGTGCAGAAATCTAGATCAATAGACAGAGCTGCGGGGCTTGCATCGTAGGTGATCATGGTATGAGAAGGAACATGAGCAAGTCGATCAGTGCGACGAGTGGCGCGGTTGCGGCGATTTGCGTTAGACTTGGGTCCTCTGTTCTTAGGCATTTTGAAAGATTCGAAGTATAAGTAATTACTTCGAAAGTGCAGGAAGATGTATTTGTTCAGAGTTCTGTCAACTTGATGTCGTAATTCTGTGATTTTGTAGAAATTGTCTGAGTTGATTGTTGATCGAAGGTCTGATTGAAGATGTTGTAATGAGAAGAAGAATGAAGGAGGAAATCTTAGGATCTTTGGAATCTATTTATGATTCCAGAAGCAGACGCTAAATTCAAATACATGTATATGTTGTACTTCACTGCCGTACATGATTCTCTCGGGAACTGACTGTACTGGTGAAACACTTTAAGTACTCTGGCCGATGGGCGTAGTTATTGGATACGGCTTTATACCATCAATATCAAGATTTAGACTCATTATATATATACTCACTATGAAAATTGTAAATAGCACAGGGAATATGGAAGAACAAATTAACTTCGTGTGTGAAGATTCATCAATTTGGAGACAGTGATCTCCCATCTCAAATGAATCCTCTCCGCTACATGAACTCAATCGTTTGCCGTTACTCAAGAGCTCTATACTATCCTAGATGTATGCAAAAGTCGCAAAGAAAGCAGAACTCCTGATTTTAATTTTGAGGGAGCTGTAGAGATCCAGTTCATCTGATATCATTCACAGTCTCAGAAATAATACCTAGGTGTATGCAATGTAATCAAGATCAGTTATTGCCATTATCAGCCAAGCGAATCTAACCTGCCAAAGTGCGAAAAATGTGTATTTTTGAAAGTCCAAGCACGAAGTGCAAGAGATGGTATGATTCCTTAATTTAAGCGAGAGTATTGTGTCTATTCTTATGTGGAGCTTTGAACTAGGCCGCGCAGTGCGCGATGAGTATTCGAGCAAGTAATTGGGAGCATTCTCGACACTCTAGCAAAATATTATGAGGTATCTCGAGAGTGGCTTGTGGATAACATCTGTCAGCAACTTGTTCGTCGCTTTCACCTTGAGAGTAGTGATAGCCTACATAAATTCTTATGTTTTGAGCTGGTTATGGGTCTTTATGTTGAGAGACTTGAGTAGGCTACGGGTTAGAACGTAGAGTCGAGCCAAAAACAACAGGTCTTTAAGCAGAGAATGGAGAGTTGTGAGGCGGCTTAAATAAAGCTTTAAAGATGCTACCTAGGAATGTTGAGAAACAGAAAAGTAATTGAGACTTTATACCCGTTGTAAGAAATACAAATTGTAAGATTCTGTATCTGTCACCTGTCTTGGGATGGAAGTATGACCCTTCCAGTCATTCTTAATCTAATTGAAGATGGTTTTTGATTTTTTGCAAACCTTCCAAGTCTCATTGGACATATTCTAACTTGTCTTAACTAGCCCACTCCAGAGGTGTAACTTCCCCAGGATTCAATCATTCCCATTTCGGAAACTAATTTCATAAAAAGAACGATTTTTACTTCTATATCTCTCTCGACACCATCTTTCACATAGTACTTTGAGCATTTATTCTATATACAGACCTAAGTAAAGGAGCCAATTTTCCAGTAGAGTGATACCAGGCTTTAAGCGAAGATCACCCCGCAAAGTACCTCTACATAATATATATCAGCAATAATATCATCACTTTGTTCTGTAGATCGCTTTTCATATATTCTCAAAGTCTTACCATACTATCGAGCTTTGTTGTCAATCCTGTTTGTCTAAGCATAGCTTTCAATCGTCAAAAGGCGGGATACACTTGCTTAACATAACTTTTGGAATTTTAACCAACGATTTACATAATCCTAATCGTATAGTATAATATTTCAAGGCTGAGTTGATTCAGTTCCAATTATTCCAATTAAAATGCGTAAGTTCGTATTCGCACTTATATCCTTCGAAGGTTGGAATCTATTTGGAAAAGATCGACGCTCGGGAGATGTACATTAAATGCTCCTTAGTTTTTATCTCAGGCTTTAGATCCATGTCCATACCTGAGTCTGCATGATTGCATGAAGTTAAGATCTTTGTAGTACATATTGAAATGATACTAGGGTGAAAAATGCTCAGTCGTCGAATACCCAGTCCCACATTTATAAGTTCGGCACTGATATCGGCACATTACTGTCAGTCAGGGGTAGTGGCTTCCTTCGCCTTATAGACTCATCAGCTCTTGATTTACTCTAAGGAAGAATCAACACAAGTGTTGCAGCGAAGTGGGAATATCAATCACTTTGCTAGAGAACTAGTGCCTTCATCTTTGGAGAGTATCAAAAGGCTCTTAACCGAGCCAGCATTCTTTTGCTTGTTTTAAAAAGAGGATAACAAATTTTGATTCACGAATACCACAAGTTTTGAACGGAATGGTTGTATAAAATATGGCCTGACGGGTTTCAAGGGTCGTTGAATATGAAATAGATCAAAATTATTGAAGCGAATCAAAGTAACACGAAAGATCAGAAGTTGACAGAAAACAGGGGAATAGGAATTGTTTTTCTTGCTTGTGTGATAGCTGCTAGCCGTGCTATTGACAACGAGTGGTATCATGTAAGAAGCGGTTCATGGGCCAGCCCAGAAATTATATACAATAGTAAAATTTGTCGCTGCCATCTAACTCGTTCAGTATCAAGTACGCTGTAGATATTATCGCAAAATTCAATGGTAAACTGCCGGTATATGTACCCTTCATCACGAAATATCCGCAGTCTATGGAGTAGATTCGCTTAAATTCCCGTCTTCCATCACCAGTACATCTCGTCATTGAAATGAGAGCTCAATTTACAATCAAAGTCAGAATCGATCTCAATTGCCTTCTCCGTACCATTTTCGACAATGTCAAAAGTCCAGCGAGTATAGTCCAGTCCATAGATTGCGCTAACGGGCTTCAGCTGCTCCCAGTAAATTCTCTGCACAGACAATGAGACTCGAACCGAATCAAGTTGACGGAACTTATTGAGCTCATAAACGACGTTAGCCATGGCCCAATGACGAGCAGCTTTTGTGTTGTTGTTGATAACGTCCATGTGGGGGATCCCAAACACAACATCGATATGGATATTGGTAGCATGGCTCGAGTACTTCGGAAGAATTTGAATTAGGTTCTTGGTGAGCTTATTCTGCTGAAATGGAGAATTTAAACCAGAAAAGTCGAGTACAATTTCTAAAGTCTTACTACTGCCATTATATTTGAGCCATGGATGGACGGAGATTGCTGCAATCTCCCAAGCAGCGTTTTCCTCTTGGGCGAGTTTCGCCAGCTGTATTTCCACACGACGAGCTTGAAGAGTACGATAGACCGCTTGTAAGATGAAACCGCCAGACATAGTGTTCAATATTTTGCAGTGAAGAAGAGTTTGTCTTGTTTGCTTCTAGATGGATATCTCGAGTGAAAGATGCGAGAAGTTAGCAAATTATAAGAGCTGACAGTAGGTAGAAATGCTTTTTTTGTAGAACAGTACTACTGAGTATTACTGTTACAGATGAGTTCCATTATTAAATAGCAAGAAAAAAAGGAGTAATGTCTTGTAAGAATGATGTAGTCAGCTAGAATTTGACGTCATATTGAACTGACTGTACGCATAGAAGATGTCAGAAAATTAAAGATCAATCAGGTAACTGTACCATTTGAAAGGGTTTTATCATGCATGTCATTAGTCTCAACCAAATGGCGGTCCCTTGCGGCACTAGTAGAAAGTTTGGTTGAAAGTGTGGTTTACGAGCGAGTGACCATTCACTACTGAGAACAATGCATAGGAATTGAGTATGCGATGTGATTTGACTGCGCATCCCTAGTCTCTAGTTTTAGAAAACTGTGGCAGTTCATCGTCAGTATATAGACCTCTGCATCATGTAGGAAATTTCCTTCGAGCGATGCAAAAAATTTCAGGTTGTATGGAAGAAGCGTGTCAAAGTAGAACGAGAAAAAAAAAACAACGATGGGTGCTGATTCCTTTCACGTGGTCACTCGCACTGTGGCAAATGATAGATTATAAAAGACTGTAGAGAATAGGTACAGAGAAACACAAGTGGCTTTCAAACCAACACTTGTGGTTCGACAACCAGAAATTCCAAATGGCTACTCTCAAAAGCAAGACCGCAGAGCATGTGAATGGCACATGGGTACTACCTCCACGCCATGATTGGTAGTAACAAAACTCTGGCACAATCCTAGACATGGGACAAAACGACCTATTTCACCAGTAAAAATGCCAGCTCCGGATCCAATCAATACTTCAAACCATTGATTAACAATCTGTCTCTATAAGCTTCACGCAATATTCAGGGCCTGACTGCTCCTGTAAGCAAGTCGCGAATAGCATCAAGTACCACGAGCCTCAATGAAGTAAATGGACAGCAAGCTAGATCCGAGGAAGGAAAGTAACTTCCCATCTGCAGAATCGCGTGGTCGCTCCTCCGCGAAAATGCTCAGAAATACACTTAGGCTTGGCTCGTGAGTGACTGCAATGTATCTGTACAAATGTAGAGCTTTGGAGAATAGCACGACTTCCCCCCTCAGGATTGTACCAACACTATGTCGACTTTGTGAGTGAGTAGCTTGACCATGTCTTGGGATACGAAAGCTGGACGTTGTTGGAAAGCAAAAGTGGAGCACCAGTCTAATCGAGGAATTTGATTGGCAGGGAAAGAACAGCTGCAGCGAGAAAAGTGTAAACGCTGTTCGATACACTCAAAATTGATAACGTGATTCCAAAGTGTGACCTTTTTTCCATTCCAATGAACTTCTGAAGAAGTTTTACCTCATAATTAGAAATCCTCTAATTTGAAGCTATATTGATTGAATTGATAGTGACTGAATCTCAGATTTCTGTTCGACTGAAATTAATAAGGCACAAGAATCACCTCTGTTTGAGGGGTAAAGGAGTTATTAAATCGGATGTATATATGTCACCTTGGCACTGTATGGTGTTCTACTCTTTGACTAAATGTCAAATCATACATCATATGATTACACCACGTGAGGTATCTTTGCAAAAGCATGTGGTTGTGGTTGATCAATTACAAATTCTCGATTCTTCAACAACGGCATTGTGCTTGTGTCAGGCTACAATACCTCGTGAGATTACAAACTTTAAGCAAACGTCCTCAGTTTGCGGTTTGGTCATACCACAGCAGCAATCATACTCAATCACTTGGTTGCAACAATACATGGAATCACGATTTCGGATCAAGATATTCAAAGTTGGAAACGGATTGAGATTTAATTCCGCCCCCTTTGGTCTCCACTAAAACACCCCCTTTAAGCAAACACCTTCTCAAGGGTCCATGCTAATACATATATACAAGACGAATTAAAATCCACTTCCTAAGCCACAGCTTTTCCTCTCTACCTCTACTCACACATTTTATCTACATACGCTTATGCGACGTAGCTTACAAGAGTGTCGAAGTATTGAGCGTAAGCAACACCGGTAGGCGGCTCGAAAGCGTAGATGTAATCACCCCACCATGGGCCAGCACCCCACCACAAAGCACCCAACCAGTACTTGTTATCGGCAGCCAAAGCATCCAACATACCAGAGATAGCAGATTCACAGTCAGCGTTGACACCACCGGCGAATTCTCCAATGACACCCTTGAGGTTGTTGGTCTTGAGCCATGCGGTAGCATCGGCGATACGCTCAGCACCAATGGTGCTGCTAACACAGGTGGCAGAGGTTCCAGATCCATCAGAGTCGAGGTATTGATGGAATTCGTAGACAAGCTTGTCTTCAGGATCGGTGATGTTCAACATGGAAACAGAGTTTCCAGATGAAACCCAGGTCCAGGCACCAGTGTAAGAAGTTCCTAATTAACATGTTAGTATAAGATTCCAATGCAAGTATGAAGGGTTGAAGAATAACTCACCCTCAACAAAGATGTATTGGGAGGTTGCACCAGCGCCACGGATAGCGGTAACACAAGCTTGGTTGAGCTCGGCATAGATGGTAGCGGTTGGCTCATCGTGGAACTCGTTGTTGCAGTCAAAGATGACCTTGGAGTTATCGGCGAACTTGGTAGCGAGTTTGCCCCAGAAGCTACCGAAGTCGGAGGTGGAAGTGATAATGGCAGAGTCATAACGTCCATAGTTGTGAGCTTCCATAACTGCGCTGGCACCAGCGGCGGTAATGTAATCGATGACCTCCTTGTAGCTAGCAAGGTAAGTGGCGTCGAGGTCAGCGGTGATGCTGCTTTGGGCCATACGCTCCAAAAGGAATGGAACACGGAAGATGTTCATGCCACCATCAATCAAAGTTTGGATGGCGGTGGTGTTTGGGAAGGTGTAATCTTTCTCAACAACACCTGGGAGGTTGGTTTGACCGAACTCGGCTCCAGACTCGCTGGCACCGATCCATTGCAACTTTCCGGCAGTTGTGCTGCTGGATGTTGCAGCGAGGGATGAAGAAGCCGAGGTAGCAACTGCAGCAGCGGATGAAACGGCGGAAGAGCTAGCAACAACCGGACTAGCGGCCGATGAAGCAACGGCGGCAGAGTCCTTGACGGCACTGCTTGATAGGGCAGCTGAAGTGGCGGCAACGACAGCAGCGGAGGAAGAAGGAAGGGTGGTTTGAGCTACAACGGCAGCGGAACTAGTCTCATCGTAATCGGCAACACAGCTATCATCCTCATCTCTAACAGCTACCGGAGCTGCGAATGCGGTTGCTGTAAGGCCAGCTGCCAAAACAAAGTTTGTGAAACGCATAGCGTAAAATTGAAAAAGAGATTGACTGAAGGAATGAATGAATGAATGACTTTAGTGAGAGTGATAAGGAAGCGTAAGAGAAAGGGAAGCTTCGATCGGGAGGAGGAAGTATTTATTGAGAAAGTCAAAGAGATGAGATCTCAAGATGCTCCACTTCATCGATTAATTAACCTCATTCCCCCTCTCATTTAGAGTTGACAACTTATCCTGATGGTAAACAACCCTCCGGACCCTCTCTGTACTTTAATTTCATGGCACTTTTCTTTTTCGGGAATCAGCGTTTCGCTCAAATTCTGTAAGCAGATGAACAGTATGTGATTATGACACGAATCACTAAATGACTGTCACCAAAGCCGTTAATTTGTGATCCGATGTGTTTTGTTTAAACAGGGGAACTCGAGATAATCATCGAATTGCAGTCAACGTTTTATCGCTAAAGGGGTAAAGTGGGGTGAATTTCGGATTTAATATCCGAACATTTATACATGAAACCTTCTATATGATTTCTTGTATGTATGTTTGTTTGTTATACCTTGCAAGCATCTATCTGTCCCATAGAGAAATATAGGAATCTTTTGATTTACCAATCTTAAATATCAATAGTCCGGCCATTTCACTCAATCCATAGTCCCCACGCGGAGAAAAGTCTCGAATTATTCCATGTTCATACAGGGCCATCACGATGAGACCGATTATTCCGAGCGTACCGAGTAATCTCTCAAGGTTACAAAGGGCTAAGAAGACAGCGGTAAAAGATCCTTTGGGAAGTGAAGGGGCTCGGTTAAGATCCTTCAAGTAGCATGGATGTCAAAAAGCTTGTTTTCCGTGAGATTAGTACTGCTTAAATAATCTATTCTCTCATACTTCCAAGGTTCTCCTTTTAATTGATCAATTCGTTGCTGCCATCCCGTTTAGTGAAACGGAAATGGCGTTTCAAATTTGGGTTTTTGCGGTAGGCTTTTGCACTGGTATCTAAATTATTCTAGCCTATTTGGGGGCTTAAATGGAGATCTACCCCAGATACTGGCATTGTGGTCCATGAGGTTGGCCATATGAAATTATTCATTCGGTGTAACCCCTTCTGAATGATAAGTCTCCACGCTCGTAGCCTAGATTGCCGACTGTCATTCGGAATACGGCACAAAATAATTGATCTCGAACCGATACTCTCTATGTATAGGTATTAGTAGTGATTACGTCTAGATCTTCAGAATCTAAAAAACGAAGACTTTGACATCCTCTCTTTCTCCTTTTCCGTTTCTACTTCCCTTATCCAATCCCACTTATCAGCTAGGAACAATTTCTTCGCTGCTTTGTCTACACCAAGTGATCTTCCGCCAGACGTAAGGTCCTCCCTATTCAAGTTCTTAAAATCGAAAAACTTTTCTGGCCCGTCGTCTCCTACTGCTTTGCCTCCTACAACAAATGCCTTCTTGTTGCTGGTACTTGTAGACGGGCTAGGAATCCAGGTTTGGTTTGATCTTTCTGTTTTCCAGAATTGAGATTTAATGCCAATGCCACCATCAATACAATCTTTGATGTAGCTCAGAGCAGGAAGCAATTTACTACGTAAACCACAATGGCCATGATTCTTGTCAATTTGATAACTTGGGCATTCTCGCAATAATGCAACAAGCTGTTCGATATCACCAGTATATGCTTCGGGCCAAATAAATCCAGGGTCGTCGGGGGAGACTGCTTGAAATGGAATGAGCGAGAGAAGGTTTTTTCTCGTCATGAACTTCACCATCTCACCGAGCTGGAAGGAATCGCAGGCGGCTGACGAATCATAGCCCAGTTTACATTGTCGTGTTCGAGATGTATACAGAGAAAGAAAATGGGTTTGGAGGGAAGATATCGTCAAAATTATCCGTGATCGACGATATGAAAGCTCAGCTACAAAGGGTTAGCTAAATTGTAATTGGTAAATTGTGACTTATCAATCACCTTCTAGACCTTCTGGCAGATCCCACCAAGCCGCTAGAAAGTCAGAATCTGTCTCTTCATATATTGACCAACGAGATGAGCCGCGGAGAATGAGCTCCTTCGTCGCTGCGGACAAGCGCAATGCTTGATTCGTATGGTAAAATATCAATATCTTCTGTCGCACAACTTCTTCCGTGGTTTTGTCGAGGGTTGGTGGATATCTGAAGCTCGAGAATTTCCCCGTGATGTATCGCGCGATCATAGTCATGCAATCATACCTATCTGCCATAACTACCAAAATTGAAATGTAGAGAAGAGTGATAGACTTGCTAGAATGTGCTGTGCCATGAATAATCTTGAGCATATCCTTGAAAACTGTTTCCCTCCCGATGGTCCTCGTTGCATCATCTTCATCTGTTATCTGTATTCGAGGGAGTTCTTCTGCTGGTAGCTCTGAAAGATCTTTGCTCGAAAGGGATAACTCTGCAAACCTAGCAGATATAGCCCGACCTTCTCCAAATGTATCCGAACCAAGAAGATGTTCGAAATATTTTGAGTGTTTCTTCAAAGTATCAAGGCGGACACGGTAGAATACTCGTGCTGATGAAAACGGCGATTTAGAGATGCGTAGCTTTTGAATTGTCTCGTTCGGTATCGACTTTGTGCAAGCTTTCGTATTTTCAAAGAGAACTTCGAGGATGACATCTCCGCCAGTTCCAATATTGACTGTCTTGTGTTCCACTCCATCGACCTGTATGCACTCCGCCGCTTCTATAGGGGCAGCATCGGCGCTCGTAGCCATGTTTCTTATGCTTTATTGTGAATAGGGACCTGCGCTCCTTGGTATCGCTTTTCCGTCGAATTTACCAGCACCTATGCGCTGTGTAGAGGAAGTATTGCTAGCGGTTTGCGATCTGTATCCGCCACCCTGTAATTGTTGTGTATTAGGAATTTCGTCCGAACGTGAATTTTGTTCTTGTAACTTCCATGAGCTACATGAAATAGTTATTTCAAGGATATGGCCAGGCCATTTTTCGAATGTTCGAGGGAGTAATGTATAATGTAATAGATTTAGGGGAAGGGAAATGTAGTGAGTAAGTTTTACTAGAAGATTGTGAAAGTTGAGGATGTCTATTACATATATCCGAAGTTCAACCGAAAGCAAACACCAAAATGCACTTACAGGTAGGTGGGTAGGTAGGTCATTCAGAAATTGAATAGTGCTCGAATATGAGGGTCCTTGAGCTGAGGATGCTAGAAAAGTCTCACCATGTTTATTTGACAGTGATACAGTTCTCTTGCTGCCAATACAAGATAGATATCAAATTCAGAAAAGAACATGGCAATGACCAAGATTATATGAAAACTATGAGACAAGACATTCAAGCCCGAAACACAAGTATTAATCCTCTTACACATTCATCAACATCTTCTTTCTTTTATTCAAACATCTCACATCTAATTAATATCTCATTGAAGATGTTTGGCCACAGCTAATTCATCGTTCAGCCATCTTTTCGTGGCTTAAGACCTTGGTGCTCTCCTTTCAATCCTGTATTGGTGAGTACTTGCTAGTTACTCTAGAATCCTGTACCTTTGTGTTGAGCAAAGAACTCCCAGACAAAAGAGTCTCTGAGCCTACATTGAACTACTGCCATCTCCATATTGCTATTCTTGAACTCTCATAGGCAAACTCGTCGTTCAGGTAATTAGATGGTGATTAAAGACGCTCGAGCCATCACTGCCCACAACTTCCCACAACTTCCGAGGAAAAGCCGTGTTCCGAACTTGAAAAACACCCAAAATATTTCTGGAAAAGTAAATTCAAAGTAAAACCAGCACGGCTACCAAAACCATTTTTCAATACAAGTTTGGTTGCACATTAAAGTTGTGGTGATAGACAAGTGTCTAATTCTGCCATACAATGTTTGAAACCATGTGCTCAAGCCAGGAACAAACAGACTTTCACAGAGAAAAGATGGTCCTTGATATGGATTCTGGTATTTGAGACGTTTGGAATTTCAACCTTTCGAGTATAGTATCTCAATTTCGCCTGATATACTTGTTGAAAGATCTCGCGTTATTTCTGTCAACGAAGACAAAAACTCCACCGGAGGTTATAGCTAACAGGTCGGTGTATGTGGCTACGCGAACCAGTTTGCACAGCTTGCTTCCTCTCTGTTACTCCGTACTCTTTAAAGGGGAGTGATGCGCACTGGGACCATGCCGATGTTTAGCGACAGGTCTGTCCCTGTGCGGTCTGCATCTAATATCTGGGTACATTCGCTAGTAGATTAATGAATGAAAATGCTTGCCCTGCGTTCTGTTTCGAGGATATGAATCGACCGGCGAGTTGTCGATGCTCAGTAGATTTATCACGTGGGGCAGCATGCTCTCTGTTTCATTGCCGTTTTTCTTGAACACTATCCGCTATGCCACATTCATGCGATTTATACTACTACTGTTCCAGCTTCAGACTCGACAATCTGCGAGGGGGTTCGTCATCGGTAGCAGGTAGCTATTGAGCCATCGTTTGACTTGGACAAAGCAGACGTTCAACCCATATTGATATTGTTGGTTGCTTTCCTGAAAAGGCCCCGGCAGATGCTCATTATAGTATCATCTTCTAGTGTTTAGACCTTGAGGTCAGGTCCAGCTCTTGTGAAAAGTCGGAAAACACAGCTTGATAACAGGTTGAATTGGAGCACGCCAATTGAGTATTTGGCGGAAGCTCACTGGTAATTTCTATGGGCCCAAGAGTCGCTTGGAGAGCCCCAAAGGCTCAGAGATGTGCCAGGATTTGTTTGCCGACGTTGTTTATATTATTCTTGACACCAGTGAAGCTTTGCAAGATGGGCTATGTTCATAGATTTAGCACGAGTGCGAAGGGACCTGAACTGTTTGGCACATGTTCGTATTAGACGGTTATTTCTGCATTGGCAAAGTAGCTCTATGAATACATTAGTGTAGGTTTGGTATACGGCTTATTCGAGAGTATTTCCAGGTCCATGCTTACTTATCTAACTCAATCTTTCATTCATGCAATTGAAAGCACAACATAATGTCAAGCTGCGCTCATCCGGAGAGTCAGATCTCCTAAAGTTCTTGTACTCAAGGTTTGGGTTGAGGTGTCGAGGTTTGCTACCTACTGGTATGCTCTAAGGGGTTTCGTGGATCGGTCAGAGACTTGCACCCTTCTTGGATTTCCATTGTACACCCACGTCTGCTTGGAGGTTTCGAAACACACTCGTGAAAGCTTTACCTATAATTCTTGGGGTCAGTTTCAGCGTCACCACGTCAGATCAAGAATCTGTAAAGGAGTCGATGAAGTTCAAAGGCTTACCCATCAAGGCACATCATCTAGACCCTCACGCCTTGAGCTAGAGACACAAGACCCATCGGCTCGGTCATTCCTTGCATATTTTGCAAGGTAACGACACACAGGATATAACTTCAACATGCACCCACACGCCATGAGCCTCGTACGGATTGATCGCATTTATCATCAGACTGTTACTCTCTTTCCAACTTATCATATTCACTGTGATCGATATGTAGCCTGGATAACGATCGGTATGTCGGCGATCGTGCCCGGCGATCGTATCATTCACTGCAGGGCAAAATAAAAGGTATTCAATTTTCTGGGTACTTTGATCCGAATGTCCTTCTGATACGCTCGCTTGTTCCTCGAAAGAGCACAATCATAAGTTACCTATGAGTGGATCCAAGGTCTTCTGTACTTAAAAATTCATTCTCATTTCCCGACAAAGTTTTCAATCTTCGACAACCACAACGCACACCAAGCAAGAAGACCTCTTGCTACCAAGATATTTTGTTACCATCAATTTAAAGTCACCTCTTACATTACTGCAACTACCTATAGCCTGCAATAAATACCTACAGCTCGATTCACACCTCTGAGTCCTTACATAAAAGCTTCTCCAAGATTCCCAATTAGTACAATCCAATTCAGACTCCTCTCCCCCACCTCACAGACTTCCATAACGGGAATCTTTCTTTCAAACCAATTTGCGCGTTGCTCTGGACCATTTATCAAGGTTATCAAAACCTTTGATTCACACTCAGGGTTCTTTGAATCAATCTTCAAGCTGTATTACCCAATTCCGACTGATCTTTCGTCTTGTAAGTACTTTTCTTTCCTTTCCTACAAGAGCAGAATGTTTCCAACGGTGTACCTTACTATCCTTCCGGTGATATCTCCAATCCAAAATCATTATACTAATTAAGCTTCCATAGCAACATCAAGATGGATGTCTATAAGCTTCTTCTCTTGCTCCTAATGTTCGTCTTGGCTCTTGCTCAAGGTAAGCTTCCCTCTTTTCTATACCCAGCTTTCTATGCTTTGAACCATGGTTATTGACATTGATCTAGATATTGTTGCCTCCTCTGTTGCCTCCGCTGGTGCTCTTACCGCCGCCCAAACTATTGCAGACTCGTTCGGCCAAGACCCATACTCCAAAGTCGAGATTCTTCCCTATCCCTCTATATCCACTGGTGCTGGGGGCTTTATCGACCTGGAACGGGCGAGATCAACTGTATACTCTACTTCCATCGTATACGTCTCTTATACCAACGTCTTCGCTACCACGGTCCTCCCTCAGAGCACAACCACTGCCGTGATTACCCTTAATGTCACTTCTACGGCTTCTGTCACGTCTACAATCTTGTCAACCGAACTCTCCACAACCACTGCCGTCGCAACCACGGCTTCTCTAACGTCTACACTCTTGACAACGGAGATATATACAAGCACGGCTGTTACAACGATCTCAACTATATCCACGACTTTCGCTACTGGTCTCTGTCATTTTTCTTCCCAGGATGCCTTAACTCCATGTACTGCTGCCGTTGTAGCCTCTCCTACATTGTCTTCTCCAACTATATCCTCCGCTTCAGCTTCCTCTCCCGCGATCCGCAATAGACCCAACGGTCTATTCAGATCTCTGGGATTCCTAAAGCGTCGTGCTGTCGGAGCCAATCGCCATGAGAAGCGAGATCAGAGTTGCAGCGCCTGGCAGGCCTCTATCGTCATCACTGCCTTCTTCATTGCTTTCACCTTGGTCTCGATCCTATGCTTCGCGACAATTATTCGGGAGAAGAGGGAGCAACCCTCGCGGATTCATGCCTACAAGTGGTGGGTATATGCCGCGCAAGCTGCTTTCTTGGGATTACTGATTTGGTTGCTTATCTGGTCAGCGATGGCGACGGTTGGAAATGGATGTAATTGATTGGATGGTTTGGGGGTAGGGAGGAGTAGGTTGGTCTCCAATGGGGTTGTGGAGCCTATTTTCTGCGTGCCTATTGGTGGATTTGATAAACAAATTGCTTCACAGTAGATTTCTGGCCTCTGATAGGTCAGATTTATAGAACGTAATGGATTTCTGCCTTTTAATTAGTTATTTCCAAGCATGCAAGGCTCTAGCCTTGCAGCCTTTTTAATACCAAGTCAGTTTTCTCGAGAAATTCATATCTTCATCGCGCCTCAAGGCTGTGCAGCCTTGTGATTAGTGAAATGGTTAAGTCATCTTTTGGGGGAATGTTCATTTGAGAAGGTTGTGAATTCTTCAGACGATATCGGTTTGATTGTTTGTGATTGGATGGGATAATCAAAGACTTGTGACTATGAACATCAGACGAGAGTGCCAGTTTTTCTGATTTCGAATTGGATATTCGGGAGTCTATCCTCAAATCGATTTTAGCAAGGACTTGAATTAATATTTCTAGGATTGCTAGATTTTCAATGTGAAAACACATAAGATGATATCGAATTGATTGTATCTACTTCAGCAAAACAATTAAGGACTCACAACTTAACAAATTAGACAATACTATTTACCTATATAAATACAGTTCATCGATTCAAGCTACTACTATCATCCAAGTGTTTTGTTTTCCACCTCCCGAATCAAACTAAAAAGTTAGTTTCTCCATGACGCTCAATTTGTTGAAGTACCGAGATGTTGTACAACTGGCGCGATCTCTTTTGATAGTGTAGATACGTACAGTACAGTCAAAGGGCTGTCTCCAAAATCCATGCGTACATAGTAAGCATATTTCATCTCACTTTCTTTCTCCTTATGCCAAGTAACCTTCTTGAACTAATGTTAAATGGGTTTATTTCAATAAATTCCCCATCTCAAGAATTTCAAATTCTCCAGACTTGCAAAGAATTTGATGATCTCAAATGTGACGAATTTTCCAACTTTTCTTTTCGTTAAAAAAGGTTAAAAATTAGAAATCTAGAAAATCTAGAAAATCTTGCTATGCTTAGTTATTAGATAATGCTTATCTCTCTCATTATCTCTCATCGCATAGAAAAATTAGATACCTAACAATATTTCGAAATCTATATCAGACCGAAGGATATTAGAAAACCGCAACCTATATATTCATTCCATGCTCCTAAGGCAAGTAGTACCCACCAACATCATTCTTCCAAAACTCCCAAACCAGCTTTCATGGAAATACCTCAATTCATTCCAGGAAGTTCGGTTTCATCTTAGATATGTCATCTGAAGTTTTTGATTTTCTTGGTTTGTTGCTGGAGTTATGTGGTATCATAATTATCCGATCACACAATTACCGATCAAAAACTTCATACTCCCGTCCCCATGATTGTCTTTTCACACCTTAAACTACGGAATCATATATGCAACATCCAACAGTCATCCATATACTTTTCATTCCTCACAATCCCACTATCGTTCTATTCTTGAAGTATATGTATATTCGATATCGCAACATTTCGGAACGACCAAGTTGATTCACTAGTAACAGCTCCACGAAGGACAAAAATCAAATGCTGAGCTATATAATCCGGGTCGCCAGCGATCAACGGAGCTATGAATGCGTGTAGCATCCTCATTCGTATTATGTAATTGCATGATTGTAGTAAAATCACTCATTCAATATGAGGGAACCAACTTGGCCAATGTACAGTTTCATATGCGCCTTTGGGCATCGACCTCAATTGTGTCAAATCCGCTATGTAAAGATAGGTCCTGGCACAACAATATATAAACGCACAAACGTACATACTTATTTGGGCTTTTGGGTTGACGTCGAGTAATGGATCATTTGTTTTGGAATTGTTGATTATTTTGGCTTTGGAATCATACCACCACTGGAGACTTGTGGTCTTGTATAAGACTTGATTAAATTGCGATGCGCCGTGCAATATTCCAGAAGAAATTCTTTGTCGTCTTGCAGCCTTCTGTTCCCGGATCTCTCGTCGGACTTTTCGTTCATCGTCTGATTCGGAACACCATAACACCACAATGATAAAATATATGACAATAGTAGCTGCAAGTGCAACGCATGAGATGCGCCAAAGCAATTGTTCGACATGTGTTGGGAACGTCTCGTTCCAGGATGATAAGAAAATGACAGGATAGCTGATAGACATCAATGCAAAAGTCCACATATAACCCCCATTTAGCTCATACCAATATGTATTCTCAATTCTCGTGATATAAGCGCCGTCGCCGGCTTCGTTCGCGTATTCGACAAAGAGGACTTTCTCGATTCTCATCCACCGGAGGATGTTGATCCAATGTTGCCAGAAGCGTGACCATGGCCATTCTTGACGTGGGACGATACAATCAAGCGGTGAGTGGTCATGTCTGGTCACTGTGGCACCATTTTGGATCTCGGCGATGGTGAATTGAGATGAGATTATTATCGAGGTAGTTACGTCTGCAGGTTTATACCACCAACACACAGAAGTGCCCAAGGCGCACAATATAAATGCCACTGTTGTAATCTCCAATCCAGTGACTGGTAATTGTTCCATCAACCGAGTAAGAAAGTTCACCATGAACCAGGTCGTTTGGAGGATCGTGATGGCCCGAAGAACACCATCTGTCTTATTCCGGTCCTTGACAGTTTTTTTTAATGTTCTCAGTCGAATCCAAGAGAATGTATTCGCTCTTAACGAGGTGTAGCAACTGCTTTGCGTTCAAAGGGACAAAATAGTCCGGATGATCTGAAGTCTTGAGTACAAACCCTCCAGCATTTGCAAAGAAGGCATGAATCATTTCCCATCCCTCAATCCCAGCCCCGCTAAACTCCTTAACTGACTGCCTAGCTGCTGCCCATTGCCCAATTGCTGCTTGCAGGATGAATTCGGGGCCAAGAAACCCGAGAGCCGTAAGCGACAATCGTCGGCAGATACCCACAAAGACAGTTTCGCCTGGAGCAGGAAGATTTAAACAGAGTATCGACCAGGAGCATAATATCATAACAGAGGCACAATTCCAGAGTATGTCAAAACTGCCTCGTCCATCTGGGCTTTGAGTCCATCCTGAGTTCGCCGTGCTTTTGGTGTTATTCGAATTTATAGCTGTGGCATTAGTTGTCGCTTCCTTCCCAATTGTGGAGACCATACGGTCGGCAAAGGGTGTTATGGGTAGACAAATAGAAGCACTGCATAGAATAAACAGTATGCAAAAGATTGCGTGCATGTGAAGTCTTGAAAAGAACATATCAGTATAATAATTGAAGTTCAAATGAAATGATACTTCTCGAACGAAGAAGGCTTTTGAATAATGCCAGTAAAAAAGGAGATAATTCCATCGCCTACCATTTCGAAAGAATATCCTACTTATTCTAGATATCCATGACGGATAATAGACTCTTTAGGAGATATATCCATTGGTTATGGGAGGCCGTTGCGTTACGATGGTCATAAGCATAGGGTAACATAAAGGATAAGCTATGGTGTCTTGTTGCGACAAAAGTGACAAAATTCAATCCTTTGGTTTTAGGTGTAGACTGCTAGTCTTAGGTATGGATTGCAAGTATTTGGTATAGATTGCTAGTCTTGAGCGGAGGTTTGCTAGTTTTAGGTGTAGATTGCTAGTTTCAGATGTATATCGCAATATTTCAGTGCGGATCGTATCTTATATCGAATAGTACAAAGCTGATTATCATACAATCATTTATTCGAATCACTCTTCAAACTGATCGAATGACTAGTTTTAAGAGTGACTGTATATTTGTGCGATTATGCGATATGTGATAAAAAAAAGTCTTAATCTGTAGTGAAATACTACGATATATGGCTGAAACTAGCAATCTGCGCAAAAAAGTTGGATTTTGTTCCTTTTTGTCACGAGAAGACTCCATAAGAGCAGGTACCTAGACCGAAGTTCGACTAGAGACATGTCAGCGCCCGTCTCGTATGAGATATCATAGCCTAGCAGAGATGGTTCAGTGAGAGCATTGGTATAATCAATGGGCCGAAGGCTCCCCCCCAACCCCCCTGCATATGATACTGCCACCATGGTATTCGTGTGGTTCATCTCGGATCTCGGGCTAGATGTTTAAACATTCAAGGCTGTGGCATCCTTCGTATGTTGTCGGCGCTAAAAGCCAGTGTTTGTCCTGCACAATATTGACCTTATTCGTCAACTGGCCACGAATATTACCCTATAGAACCGCAGGATATACGAAAGTTCTGCGGGTGTCAAGAATAGCAAAAGAGGTATTGTAACAGCATCGTGCGATATTTATATCTCCAACAGTTGTATATTATCCTTCAAAAGGTCAGCAGGGGTCGGACATTACCCCGTTTGATCGATGGACCGACAACACCAGTCCGCTTTTTTAACCGGCATTAGCGAATTCAATAGCTCTATTAACGGCACTAGTAAGACAAATCCTATTGACAGGCCATAAGCGCTCCTAGCTCCCGTTGTGAGTGGGTAGATGGAGGAGGGGATGTCGGGACTGGCAATTCCTTAGATATGGAAAAGGAACTACTTTTCAGAGTAAACGTAAACAGCAACCCCTTTCCTGAGAAGAACTGTAGATACTATGCAACCATTGAAATGAAAACCCTTGCTATTAGTGTAGTTCTGTTGTTACTTTTATGAAGTGAGAGAAGAGGTTACTGTGTAGGTCGAGCAGGTGTAGATCACGATCACATGTTTGGTACATTTACATGCCAGGATTGAGCCGAAGAAATCCCGAGCCCCAATCGTTAATTGCTTACTAGATAACGAAAACCTCCAGAAATCTGTTCAGAAGAGAATCAAGGGTTTCATCATCACGAAAAGCCATCTACCAATTCCGTTAGAGCGAGTCTCGTGAAGATTGACTCAAAAGCTTAGGAACCAAACAGGTTCATTACTACCATGACCGTAAGCGCCTGTATAGACTTAATATCTCAGGCACCACCGTGTCGCACCGAAAAATGCTATTACAACACGTTCCTGAAGTACATGGTTGTCACATTTCACAGCCTACATAAGATTACTCCATGTCAGCTCATTCACTTTTGTTGGCAAACATACCTTACTAATAACTCATTCGCAGTCAATTCATCTTCACTGTCAACATACCAACCTCATTGAGCAATTCCTTCCTTGCTTATCAAGCTCTCTCCTATCCTCCAGGAGTCGTCCGCCATGACCGATAGCCCAGACAAAATGGCTCCCATCATAAACGAAAACAACTCTCTGCAAAATTACTACCATACCATCGAATCTCGCCTTGGCTACCAAATTGTTCTCGGTGGTACCAGACACTTTGGCTATTATGAATGTGACAAATACAATCCTTTCCCAATTGGAGCCGCGCTACAGAGAATGGAGGATCACCTCGGGAAAACTTTGAGCCTTCCTTCTGGTTCGCGAGTATTGGATGCTGGATGTGGCGTAGGCCATGTTGCTTTGCGCCTCGCAAAATTTCACTCGCTCGAGATCCAGGGAATCGACGTTATAGATCATCACCTCGAGAAAGCTAGGCGGAATATCGAGAAACAAGGGATGAAAGGAAGAGTTACGGTTGAAAAAATGGACTACCATCACCTTGACGGGATTGCAAGCAAGTCGCTGGAAGGTGTGTATACTATGGAAACATTTGTTCACAGTACCTCTCCAGAAACGGTCGCTCATGAATTCTATCGCGTGTTGAAACCAGGTGGTCGTGTGGCACTTTTCGAATACGAGCATAGTGACATGAAGTCGGAGCCGAAGGCAAGGGTGGATTCGTGGAGCACAATCAATAACCATTCTGCGATGCCCGCGTTCGATCGATTCACATATGGATCGATTGGCTCAATATTTGCTGATGCTGGCTTTAGCAATGTTGTGACCGAAGATATCACTATAAATGTGAAACCGATGGTTCGGTTCTTCTTTGTCTTGGCGTACATCCCATATCTATTGGTCTCAGCCCTCGGTCTCCAGAAACATTTTGTAAACACTATGGCAGGAGTAGAGGGGTGGAAATGCCGGAATAGCATCAAGTATGTAGTGGTTAGTGGGGAAAGACCGCTGGAAAATGGTTCTGAATTGGACAACAGTGAAAGCAGGAAGTTAAAGTGATAGCAGATATTTACACTAGGCGACGCATTGGTTTCTGAGCTATCTTTTAATTAATTAAACAAAAGTTCATAATACTTACTTTAGTATTGATCTCTTGTAAAACTAAGCTCTCATCTCCTAAAGTACTATAGTAGAACTTGACTATATGAATTGGGATATACCGGAATCTTGAATATCTATATCGAAATAATTTCTTGATTTGATCATGTTTTATATGACGATATTGGATTTGTAGAATTGAAATATTGAATAGTCTTTTCATAAATCCGATAACGTAGTTTATCAATGAGTCGATTATATCAATAGATTGATCACTTTTACTTCAAATTTGTCACGGATCGGCCTCAATCGCAACTGCAATCGCTCACGTGTGCATACGCATACGTGCACGATCACATGTATATAGCTAATATATAGGTATGCTTTATGAATACTTTACTCTCAATTCTATAATTGTAGATTCTAAGGATAAATTGTATCCTACTCTTGTAATTCTTCTATGGCAAAGTATTATATTATTTACAACTCATTATATGATTATATGGCTATTTAATAACCGATTAAACAATACCTTATAATTTAATACCTTTTTGAGTAAATCGTATCAATTCGATATTATTTATAGGAAGAAGATTTATTCCGAGTAATTCTCAATGAAGATATTCTCTTAAATATATTAAGTTATAAGTACTACTATTATATCTTCTATATTATTTGATTTGAGTTATGATTTTTTTGCCTCAAAAGGCTTATATTACTTATTTGTTAGTCAAGCTTTTATATTTAATAATAATTAATTTCAATAAAACAATAATAATAGTTCTTATAATTCTAATGTAAATATAGATAGATATGAAAAAAGTAAAGAATATAAAAACAATTTTTTAATTAAGGTATTAATTCTCGAGGGTAACAAGCTTATATTTATTCTTCTAGATTGTTACGACGGGTAACATTGGATCACGTGATAAGTATCATGTGATAGGACGTTGGAGCCTTTGGAGCCTAGGATTTAAGGAGCCAGGAGCTTTTAGAGCTTAGGATCTAAGGGATCCAAGTAGGATAGAACTATGGGTTCTGTAGAGCAGGAAGGTCTATATAAAGAGAATGAGTCTCATTATAATACAGAGCTTGGTGCTCAAGAACAATTATTAGTTTCATTACTATAGTTATAAGAATTGTAACCAATTACAACCTTATTGAATTCCTATTTGAAATCTAGTCTAAACCACCTCGAGAGAACTCTAGACACTTCCACGTGACCCTAGAGGCAGCTCCCGTAACATAGATTAGGAAGAGTAAGTATTAATAATAAAAGAGTTATAAAACGAAATTATAAAATTTAGAAATGAATTACTATAGTATAGTTTTAGTATTATTTGCTTATTTCAATCTTTAAAATAACAATAATATTATTATATAGATTCTCTTATAAATTACGAAGTTCGGACTTCTAATGTTCTTATTGACTTTATTAAAAAAAAAATTCTTATTATTAAAAAAAAGAAGAATAAGAAAACCTTGTGTTCACGAAGTCATTTTTTATAACAATTTCTTTTAAATATTAATAATAAATCTCACTTATCATTAATTACAATTCTTTATAATTCACAAATTCATTAAAAACTTGACTCTTGTTTTGATATTATTCTTATAAAAAAACTATATATCCTGAAGCCCATTAATCTCTTATTAAAACTTAAAAATGGTATAGAGTTAAAAGCAAACTTTTAATTATTAGTAATTAAACGATTAGAATTATATATGTTATTACTTGTCTCGAAAGTATAATAATAATCTTATATAATAAATCAAATAAAAGAAGAAATACAAGAATATATATTCGCACTATACATTCAAGTACTTTGTTTAATAGGATAGTAATTGATTGATTAGTTTGCAATCATTTACAAAAACTCAACTGAAGCCGATCATATACAAACTAAATACAAACACTAAATAATGCCCAATAATACACAATATGAAAACTTCTTAATATAATATTATAAATTCAGATTATTAATTATACAAGCGGAAATCACCAATCAAAAAAC